ACTGGGAAAACCAGTTGTGCTTGGGAAATTGATTTTGGATTATCTCCTCTGATAAGTCACTATTGTTGAAAAGTAGCTTTATGGTGGCAAACTTTAGAGAGCTGTTTGTATGCAGCTGGGACTGAATTTAGACTGTCTTTCTCTGACTTGCTAAAAAGCTAAGGATTGACAACCCCTTTCATCCTGCATTATCCAGTGTAGCTTTTAACTCCAAGAAAACTATGTTCACAAATTGATGCTCTGCTCCTTTGGGGTTGGTGCAGAAACATTAAATTGTACTAAAATATTCATATGTGAGTGCATTTAGCTGAAAGCAATTGATGTGCTTTTCCCTGGAGAGAGGGGGGGAAAAAAAATTGCTGCATGGCCCTGCACTCCAGCAGACACCCTAACCATGTTTAAGAGTAATTACACAGCTTGGCTGATCAAAGGTTCTTAAAGTGAAAAACAAACTGTAGTTGGACTCTAGTTTAGTGATGTGTCCTTCTTGAATGGAGTGGGTTCAGCTGCATCACATACTGGAGATATGTGATATACTGTGTGATATACACTATAATAGAGATGAATTACTGTCAAGCCAGAAAATATTTTATTGGCTTAATAGTTTCTAACTGGAAGGAATATCTTGTACAAAGCAATTTTGATCACAAAGATTTCCTTCTAATTTCATTGTCCTTTCACTCTTGCAAAGAAAATAAAATATCTGAGCTGCCTTTAGAAACAGTGCATGTGCCAGATGGGTTTATTAAACTGACCTGTTTAAAAGCATGCCATTGGCAGGATGATAAATTGATGTGCATTGGAGGTTTTCAGCATCATTCAAAAATTGTCATAAAAATCAATAGCAGCTGACAACATGCTTGCAAAGTAGCTACCTCAGCTTGTGGGGCACCTGTGGCTGCCCTGAGCTCTGTCACAGCACCCTTCAAAGGCTCAGGGAGTTGAAATAAAAACTGTTCTTGTAGTTCTCTTAAGCAGAGAGAACTTAAGAACAGCCCCAAGGCAGCCAAAGGCATGTTTAAATATTCTCATACATATAAAGGAAGTAATATCACGTGCCTCAGATTGTTCTGTAAATAATTGCAAGAGTCTGTATGCACAGGAAAATAACTGCATTGATACATTGTTAATTGCAGTCATCCACTTACAGCACTGCTGTGCATTTTTCCAAACAGCCTGTGACTGGCTGTATAGACTCTGGAGCCACATGTGCAAATTTGTGCATGTGGAGTCTGCCAGTATATAAGTTGAGTATGTCTGAAGCAGAAATAGAGTTTAGGGAATGGCTAAGGAGGATTGATTTTTTTTTTTTCATTTTAATGATTAGCATGTAATGACTCTAAAACATACCATGGTCATTTTTGTTGGAAAAATATAAGTCCAGATGAATACTTTAACCAGCAACTTGTGAGAAGCTGGATTTTTGATTTGGAATCTTGACTTTGAGTAGGTTAAATTTGGGAGTTGGAGTTGTGGGGTTTTTTTTAGGGTGGTTGTGATGCAATTTATATATGCAATTATAGACTTGGAGGTCTCTGTCAGGGTCCTGTCTGCCACCAGAGTTGTGCAGGATGTTGTGTGGCAGGACAAATGAAAGCTGTCTTGGCCTCTGTGCCAGTCTTCTGACAGAATCACCTTGGACTGCTGCTGCAGCCCTTGTGAGAAGTCTGATGGGGGCTGGTGCCCTCCTTCACATCTGCCCACTATTGATGTACCGAGCCCTTCCAGCCTCAGCACATCTGGAGTGTTGGTACTTCCTGGTGGTGCCTTCTTGTCCTCTGCTTTGCACAGTCTTTGCTGTTTGGTACATTCAGTGTCCTGTGCCATGTGTTCCCTCCATCCTGCTTTTCCTTGCCATCAGCTCTCTTCTCTGGTGTCCTTTCCCAGCGCTGATATCTGCCAGTGACTTCATAAAAATATCTGTGGCATGGCTGTGATGTTTGTACAGTGTTTCCTGCATGAAATGAAGTTGCTGAGAGCCAAGACAATTTCCTAACCTGACGTCCTGTCCATATAACCACCAAAACTTTCACTTCCTTGACTTCATTTGCTTTTGGCACTTCAGTTGTTCACAGTGCTGTGAACCCTTTGGTCTGGAATGTGTGTGTGCTGTTTTGTTGCCTGTTCTCGTGTGGCACAGTGTTGGCAGCAGCCCTTCAGTGAAAATCTGCCTGTGCCCAGCACTAGGGAGTTGATAAATGCTACTCCATGTCCTGGACTTTGCTGTAAGTGCCTGTAACTGGGGGCTGTGGATCAGCTGCCTGACAGCAGTAATTAGAGCAACTTCCAGGGTTCCAAAAAGCTGGAACTTGAATTTGGTGTAAAGCCATGTCTGGCCCCTGAGAGGTGCGACCCAGACTTGGATTCATCTGTTCTGTGCTTTGTGTGGGTCTCCTGCCCAGATGAGCCCTGAAGGACCCAGAGCTCCTTGCTCTGTGCTGCCATGGCCCAGCAAGCTCTGGAAGGGTGCCCAGCTGGGGTACCCAGCTCCTTTCTGCTTCCCTCCCTTACCTGTTTCACAGGCTTGGGGCTACAGTCCTGACCTGGGACTTTGAACTCTGACACACTTTGAACAATGATAGGACTCAGCAAAAGGCCTGAGAGAAGTCCGTGATTTCAGGGAAAACATCAAAACAAGATTATTACTGTGAAAATAAATAAGGATTTGAATTTCTCAATGCTTTATATCCTCCCTGGCTGACCAGTTGAATTCTCTTTAGGACAGCAGTCCTGAAGTGTTATCATTTAGACATTGTGGGTCCTTTGGGTCCCTCCTACTGAACTGCAGAATAGATTAAAACTAAGATTTAAGCAGTTCTGTCCCTTTTACAGCACAGAAGTGTTGATAAGAACCCTGCTGTCTTGTGTGTTCTCTACATGAAAACATTGCTGAGGTGATCTCCTGTCAGGGTTAGGGCTGACTGACAGGACCAGTTGTCTGAACCACAGAGCCAAAAGCACATAATCTAGAAGGCCATGGCCTAGATGCATAATAAATGCTTTTAGACAAGCCTGGTGATTTACAAATGTCTTTTTAATGAAACATCCTTGTCTTTCCTAGATATTTTAATAGAATATATTCATAGGCATCTGGTTCCCGGTTAGCTGGATTCTTTCCAAAGATTGAACTTCACAATGTTAAGCAGACTGATAAGAGTATCTGGTAGTCTGGATGACTGGCACTTAATGAATTGCTCTAAAAATAATCAAATTACGGTAATGTGTCTTTAAAAAGTACTTGTATTAAAGACAGCATGATGTTAGAATAATTTTTCCTGTAACATCTGTTCTTTTATTTGGTATAATGAAAATATTGCATTCTTACCATGAGTTCTGATGTGGACATATTATGTTTCATTGCAGCTGTGGTTAAAATGGATTGACCTCCTGTAGTAATCCATTTGGTAAAAGCCTGCTGAGGCCAAGGAGTTTCTGATTGTGTTCACTGGCTGTGTGGTTTTGTGGAAGTAGGTGGACTAGATTCCATGTTTCAGTTTCAAAGGAAGCCTTTTTGATAGGAAATACTTTGTTTTGGCTTTATTTCCCCACCCCTTCAGTTTTTACAGGAGAGAGTTTTTGTATGAAAATGCAGAAAAACTTAATAAACTTAATTTATCTATTCCCATTTAAAAATAATATAGTGAGCAGAGGGTATAGATGTAGAAACATCAGAAAGCAATCTTCCTTTTTTTTCTTTAATTGATGTAATGACTCTGAGGCCTGTATGGCAGAAGCCTCTGTGGGTCTGTGTTTGAGCACCTTTGTTTGCCACTCTCCTTTCTAGGTCTGTGTGTGTGTCCCAGAGCTGGGCTTGGCTCTGCCATGCTAAAAGCCACTTAACTGTAATGCAGTTTCAGCTGCACAGGGGTTAGATTGGTTTTGACCCTCTTACACTCCCTGGCCCCCCACTATTATTTATTGAGTTAAATTAGATTTATATTTTCTTAGATATGGAATACATGTGGTATTTTTAAAAGAGAAATTATGTTAGTATTTGAGGCTGTGTCTTTTCTAAGCACATATGAGGTACCACCTTTTGACTGCTTTTGATAGATAAGCCCCTAACTATATTTGTGTTAATTTTCTGTTATTGAATGAGTTGGTGAAAAGTACTTTCTTTAGTTTTCTTCTGTAATATTAGTTAGCTAGAGTACAGCTCTGACTGCTTGCTTGGACTTGTGGTAGTAGAAAAACTGTGAGGGAGCTGAAATACCCTTTGTTTTGGATAAATGATAGAATGAATGACTTTAAGCCCAAGGAGAAGTAATACTTTTCAGCTGTGACTAAAACAGCTGACACAGATCTATTTGCCTGTACATTTTCATCTCTTCTGACTGTAAGACTCTTTGGAGATGTGCAAGTGTGTTAGGGTTAAGTGTAAAACTGTCAGTGTAGCTGGTGTACCTTCTGTACTCTGTGTGGGCAGTGAGAGGGGAAGGAAGGCTTCAGGCCATGTGGACACGGAGGGTTGGGGTGAGGAACACAACCTGCAGGTGTGCAGTGCACCCAGCCCACTTGGGTACCTCAAAGGTTTATCCTGCTCTACAGGCAACCTTTCAGAGGCCTAACACCTGAATTTCAGCTTTGAGCATTGTCTCAGGTAAAGGCTCTGAGGGGCTTCAAACAAAAGCCTTGCTTTGCTCTTCAGGCAACTGCATTATCCATCTGTAGGTTATCTTCTGTAATATTTGCACTGGCAATCTCCAGGGTCATGGATAACATGGATTGCCCTGGCCTTCAGCTGAGCAGTGTTGCACGTTTTTGATGCAGACTTTATTTTTTTCCCCATAATCTGTCTTTTCTAGATGCTCCTTTGGGATTCTCCTTTTGCAGTCACATTGCATCCCCAGCTGGGGAAAGGAACCAATCATCAGTTGCCTTCAGTATTGAAAACTACAGTAATGTAAAAACTGCTGCATATAATTGATTTGGATTAAGGTTTGTGAGAGCTTATTGAGACTGGTGTGGGGACCAAAAATATCTCTCTTGTTTTTTCCTAGGAACTTTATATTGCTGTGGGAATATCTGGAGCAATCCAACACTTGGCTGGAATGAAAGACAGCAAGGTATGTGAAGGTGGATGTATCAGAAAAGATTTTTGAGGAAGGAAATGAGTTGACTCTCTTGCTTTTGCAACCATGCTTTAGATGGTTTTCGTATTTCCTGCTGCTTTAAAACAGTCTTGGACAAAAAAATATGTTGGCAAAATATCTCACACAGTAGAAAAACCTTTGCACTACAACCTAAAGTGATCAGTGGAAGCAGCTAATTGATGTTGTTTAAAAAAAAACCCAACCCAAAGCACATATGCCTGAATTCTATACAATAATTCCATTTGCCTTTATTCCAGACTATGACATATTAATTCATGCATAACAATGTGCAATTTGAATTATGAACTTACTATTCCATAAAGGAAAAGATGTCTCTGACATTCCTGCATTTAGCCATTCAAATGGAAACCTGCTATAAAATGGCAGTAAAACTTTAAAAGGTTTAACTCATTAGTTGCCAAAGCAAATGATCCAAAGTTGGAATTGCCAGTTTGGCCCACAGTGCAATGTTTGAAAAGAGAAGCAGAGTTACCTGCTGATTGATACTCTCAAATGCCAGACATTGAAAACTGGAGGTCCTGCCTCCTGCAGTAATTTTTTTAAAAGGAATTTTTTTCTTTCTATTTTCAGGGGATGAACTTAACCAAGCCACAACTTTGAATAGTTTATAAAGCTGAGGGAAAAGGTTACAAAACTTAGCAGGTAGTTACCTGTGTTTAACCAACTACAGACCAGTGAGTTTGACTGCTAATTGTCCTCACAAATGAGCCTGTGTGGTAGGATGATCTCTGCTTTCTTACCATTGTTTTCCCTCATGTGTTATATAAATACTTCAGGGGGGAAATGATAAGCTTTCTGAAGGCAGGGGCTTGAGTGGTGTTAGCATTAGTTGATGCAGTGGAGCAAAAAGGACCAAAATTCCAAATGTTCCAGGTGTGGGATGGGCACAGGTGAAGGTCTCTCTTGAGAAGTGGCAGTTGTGGCAGCGTGTTTCCAAGGGCTCTGGTGGAACAGCACTGCCAGAGTGTCTCCTGCTTGCAGTGCAGCAGAGGGAGAGTCCAGGCACAGCACTGCTGCCACGGCCACCTCAGCTCTCCTGGAACTGCTGGGCCACAGTGGCACAAGTGGCTTTGCTTGGGGGAGTTCAGTCTCCAGCTGTGCCCTTGGCTGAGTGAGGAGATGGGCAGGTGGGATAAGCAGCAGCCACTGGTTGGAAGCTGCATAAGACTTGATGTGACCCTCTTTGTCTTTATCAGCTGCTTTATCTCAGTTAAGTCTTGTCAGCAGCACTGGGAACCTCTGACTTGAAGTGCCAGAATTTCCTTTGTTCCAGAAACACTGAGCAGTGATACTATCCTATACTGTAACAGCAAAACCTCTGCTTTTATGACTTTTCCAGAGGCATGTTTGATATTTTGAGGTAATCTGCTATAAGAAATAAGGACAGATGAAATTTGTTGATAATGTTTATTTAACCCTTCAATTTCTCCCATATCTCAGTTTTTTTAGTATAAGCTAATGTGTCTGTTGTAAAATTCAGATGCAGTTATTGGTATTTGGAATGTGTTCTGCCTTCTTTTTAGCTAAAGTATTTAGGTGGGGTAGTTATGGAAAAGATCCAGTTTTCCCAAACAAAGAATTCTGCAGGCACAGGAGCTCTCTGGAGCATCCCCAGCCCTCCCTCAGCTCTCTGAATTACCTGGCATTGTGAACTTGTACACTTCAGGATATGTTTTCCAAAGCAGTCGGATGCTTTCTACCAAGTGAAATGTATAATTTATTTGTTCTTTTACAGCAAGGTAGAAAATGCAGCTTTTGAGGAGACCTGAGAATTGTTGCTTTCTTTCCTTATTTCCAGTTCCCTCATGAGAGTTCCCCTCTTTTCTTACTCAGAGATTTAATTCTGAAAGTTCTGTTGTGAGCAAGGTGATGCTTTTGCTGCTTACCTGAGTTAGCAATCAGGTAGGAAACCAAATCTTACTGAAGTTACTTCAGCTGAAGGAGGCAGAGCTTCCAAACCAAAGCTTCAGACAGTTCTGCAAGTGATTTGTTAATTATTTTTGTGCTAAGGACAGAGCTAGCAGCCCCTGTGGTGCCACTGACTGCTGGCCTTGGCTGGGCCTCAGCATCAGCCCCTGTGGATGGTTCTGCAAGGAACAGCAGAACTGCAGGAGTGTCTGAGAAAGTCTTTATTGGGCCAGTACCCTCAGGGATCACAGCCTGGTTTTGCTTCCTGCACTGCAGCTTGTCAGGGGAGGCTTGCATTTGCAAACAGGGGTTACTGAAGTAAAACCAATAAAGCTCTGGGAGAACGTTTCAAGGGCAGCATTGCTGCAGCACTTGCACATCCTTGGCTATGAGCTGGCCAGAGGGCAGGGGCAGTGCTCTGGGTACTGCCTGCTTGCAGGTGTGCTCTGGGGTCCTTTACAGGGACTGTCAGGAGACAAACAGCATGCCAAGAAATAACATTTCTGGGGGCCTAAAACCACAGGATTTGTAAACTATTCTCATTGAGTTACTGCCACTAGGCCCCTGCTTACTGAGCCATTAATTTTGTTGGACTTTGAGTGGAGGGAGTAAAGCAGCCACAATGGAGTGTGGCAGGTAAGTGCCTCAGCTGCCTGTTGGGTTAGAGCTGCCCTGAACCACTGTTCCACTGCAGTGTGGAGGTGGGCAGGCACTGCCCTTGAGCTGTGCTCTGGGCCCCTTCTTGGTGTAAGGCTCCTTCTGTGAGCTGTTGGGTTTGCTTTAGGATTCTTTTCCCTTCCTCTATGGAGTGCTCCCCATCCTGTTGCAGATTTTGATGGACACCCAGCCACACTTATCTTGCTGGAAGCTGTCACAGGCAGTTAAGGATGATTCAATGTACAGCAGAGCTTAAACCAAGACGAGTTCAGGATTACTGTGTTGGGATTTGTGCTGTTTTCTGTTGTGTGACAAACTAAATGCTATGTCCCAATATAAGTAGAGGCCTTTGGGCAGGGTTTTACTGTGCTTATAACTACTGCCTCCAGGTTGGTTCTGCAATGGTGCAGCTTAGAATATGCAGATAAGCCTTTGTAGTAAGCCTTTGTAGTAAGCCTTTCTAGGCTTTTCAACAGGGAAGGATAGCAGAGACGTGTATGATGAACAGGGAAGGGAGGGCTTTGGTTTGTTTTTTTTCAGAGGGATTGTGGTGTATATGGAGGGAAGGAGGTGTTTGTTTTTGAGATGGAAAAGTATTAAATGCACAGATAAATCTTCTGCTTCAGGTGCTTGGAGGGAATATAGCCCATTTCCTGGCTAAGACCTGGCCTTGTAATCTAGCCCCAGAAGATGACCAATTTCTAGATTCATATGGTGCTTTAACTTTGCTTGCAGACCATTGTTGCTATTAACAAGGATCCAGAAGCTCCAATTTTCCAAGTGGCAGACTATGGACTGGTAGCAGACTTATTTCAGGTAAGGCTAAACTTGATATCCAGGATAACTGGGAGAGCTGACAGCTTACAGTTATATAATAGTTAACATGTTAACAATGTCTGTGTGAGGGGGTTTGGGTTGTTTAGAGATTTGCTTTCTGATGTCATGATTTGCGTGCTTAAAATTGAATCTCTGCAAGTAGGTTGTGTTGGGAGGGGAATCACAGCCAGCTTGCCTCAGCTCTGGTTTCCTGAGGTTGAACCAATTTTGGAAATTAGCACACATAGGTGCTTGCCTGTATTTTTAAGCTTCAGAAAGTTTGGAAGTAGAGAGTTGGCAGGAGTCATGATTATTTCTGTCTGGGCTTGCTGCCTCACTGACGGATGCCCAGGAGGAGCTTGCACTTCCCTCTGGAGCTCCAAGCCAGCCCTGGCCCAGTGCCTGTGTGTCACTGCCTGTGTGTGACCAAACGTGAGTGGCAGGAGTGTCATGGCTCTGTGGAGGCACGGGCAGAAACTCTGCCAGCACTTAATGCCATTCCTGAAATAATGCCCGCTGGCTCCATGGTGAGCACGGGCCTCTTTGTAAGCCAGAGACAGTCACATTCTGAGGAAACATCATGTAGACAATTTCCTTAATAAATTTTGTACGAATGCATTATTTCCACCTAATGGAAATGTAGCTCTCTTAAATAATTAAGAGGCTTTATTCAGCAGGAGAGAAGTGGGGAGTGCTGTGAGCTGGGGTGACCCACAGCCCCTGG